AGGCCGCTGGTGAGGCTGGAGCCCCAGGGCTGCTCCTGATGTGCCTGTCACCGTGGAGCCTTTAGTGGGTGGATTCCTGATGGGGAATGTGTGTGTTCAGCCTGCTAATCTGTGCGTGGATATGCAGGGACAGGCAAGGGGAGACCCAGAGGGAGGACTGTCAACACTGGTGAGTCTTCACAAGTAAGACTGGGTACAAGGCAGTGGAGTGGGCTCAGGCCTCCCGCGCGTCCCTCCAGCACATCCTCCTGCCTATGTGGCCCTGGGCCAAGCTGCCCAAAGATGTGGAGCTCTGAAGGGCAGACTCCTAGGACACAGCATCTCCATTCCCAGGGGCCTCTTGGAGCTGAGCCCAGGTCCCAGTGCCCGAGAGCCTCCCCTTCAGCCAACAGGAGGGGACGAAATGCAGAACTCAGCGAGGGAGCAGAGAGGGACATCTCAGGGACTCAAGCAAGGAGCAGAGGCAGAAAGGTTCAAGGCATCTGGGCAATGACAGCAAGTTACAACCAGGCAGGGTCGGGGGCCAGGGTCATGAGTGGGTTTAGGACCAGATCAGCAGCTGGGGCACCAGTTCAGCGGCACACACACACCCTGACGGCAATGTGTGGAATCCTCCAGAACTCCTGGGCCTGGGAGGTCCATGTGGAGAAGCTGGACACCCAGGAGGTGCTGGACTCTGGCTCCTGGCAGACAGCCTCCCAGCCTCACCCACCTGCACCATCTGGAAGCCTGGTTGGAGCAGCCTCAGGTGCCTGCTGCACACACTACTTTCTGGGACGGACTGCCTGGGAACTGCCTGCCCTTTCTGTCCTCCCCAGGGTATATCTCCTTCTAGTGCAGAGGCTCTGGACAGTCCTCACACGTGTTTGCAGCCCCATCCTGGTACTCACACATGTGCTGCTGGTGACGCTGACAATGCTCTTGAAGAATGTTTTGCCATTGTTCAAGCTGACTTCAATAAAGTACTCCCTAAAGCACAGAAAACGCAGATGGCGAGACCCAGCCCGGAGAGATGCAGTTCTTGCCCTTGGCCAGTGGACAGCATGGGTCATGAGAGGTCATTCCCCAAACACTTGCAGGTCAACTCAGCAACGATGACCAAAGGGTAAGCGGGTCAGGCAGTGAGGGGCCCTGCCTGGGGTCTCATGCCATTGTGACCGTATCCTAAATGACCAGGGACCATTGCTTGGTGTCACCATCCTGGTTCTTCTGTATTTACAGAGTCTGTTGGCTTAACTTTGAGAGGCAACCTGGAGCAAAGGTACCATTCCTCGGGCAATCATCTCCTGCACCCTGCCCTCCTCACAGACCCTAGAACACTGCAGATCCCTGAATACCTTTGGGGCCACCAATGATAGAAGGTGGGGAAAGTGCCCTTAGCCCAGTGGGAGACACGTGCAGCCCCAGCAGGGTGGCGGGAGGTGGAACATCCACATTCTGTATACCTCACTGTGCCCAACCCTGACCCCCTGGCCTCCTACTCTATAGGGCCTCCTGCCAGGTTTTTCTGTCTTTGGTCCAGGGCAAGTTTTGGAAGTCTTGTCCATACTGATTGGATGTTCATTTAAAAGGAAATGACATGACAAGAATGTCGATGCACACATTGACCACTGTCTCTCCCCATGTGTGTCCTCAGCACGCAGAGCTGACCCTGTGGCCCAGGACCGGCATCTGGGCTCTGCCTTCCTCTTACAGAGACCCCTGTGAATACCCACCACACCCAGGCCCTGTGCAGTGCTCTGCTGTGTAACAGGAACAGGCAGGCAGAGTCCCTGCTCTCAAGGGACTCACATTTAGAGATTGCATGGGACACAGAAAACAAAATTTTTAAAAAATAAAATAAAATAAACAGGACAAAACAGATGATAAAGAGTGCAATGTGCTGTGATGTCCATGACCAGAGGAGGTGAGGGGACCAGAGGGAAGGGACAGCCGCTTCATTATGCGTGACTTCCCTCTCTTGTAGAGCCACAATTTCTGGTCTAGAGGATCATGAAATGATGCAAGGCCAGGGATTTGCTTCAAAATACTCTGTGGTAAGGGTACCAAGGAAAGCACGTTGGAGCAGGTTGAGAATGATTGAAAGTAGGTTCATTGCACAATTCTTGTTATTTTGTACACTGTTGAAAACTTCCATGAATAATAAATTATCTCTGAAGAGGTGACATTTCAGCTGAGATTGAAAAGATGAGGAGCCAGCCAGGCAAAGATCATGTGCCAATGCCCTGGGCAGTGACTCGCTGACTTTGTCAAGGAGGGAAAGAGGTGACCCAGAACAGAGGGCAGGGCCTCGTGGGCCCTGGAAAGGGTTTTATTTTTTGTGCAGTGAATCTGTCCAGGTTGGGCAGATCCAGGATATATTTTGCACATGGAGGCAACAGGACTTGCTGGTGGGATGGATGTGAAGAGGAAGCTCGGAGGAGTCAAAGATGACATTTGAGTGTTTGACCAGAACAACCGGCTGGACAGTGACACCATTTACCAAAAGGAGGAAGCCTGAAGAGGGGACTGGTTTTGTTTGTTTGTTTTAAGTCTGTAATTTTCTTTCCCAATGTTTATTTATTTATATATTTATTTATTCATTTTTGTGGGAGCGTGGTGGGCTCAGGAGAGTTCGGTAATGTGTAGACATGGAACCTTCTCACTCCTGAGCCCACACCCTTTTCATGCCTCCTGAAGTGTGGGGGAGGGCATGGGCATCTGCCTGCTGGCCTTGATCCAGCTCTCTACCCACTGGGTTCGGCTGCCAGGACCTCGGCTTCCCAGGGCTCAGCAACTGCCTGGCAACCTAGGACTGGCAGAACCCGTGGTATCGACCTTTTTGCCAAGGATGATTTCAAAACAATTATGGCATCCTCCTCATTTTCCTTTAAAAACCTTTCTCTGTTTTTTTTTTCACCTCCCTAAATATGCACATAGTTTACTCTGGCATGTGTTTTCCATGCCCTGTTCCTGAATAAAGAGCATTTCTGTTTAGAGACACTCTCTCTGTTTGTTATTTTGGTTGACAAAAATCGTATCCAGGCGCTTCCAGAAGCCAGAACCAGGCTCTGCCCCTGCTTCCCCACAGGGACAGATGCAGGACAGAGGGAAGTCTCTCCCTGACCTGCACCTCCAGGCTGGCATCAGTGGCCAGGGAAGGCACGCTGCCATCTAGTGGGGGGTGCAGGGGAGGCGTGTACAGTGGTGGCCAACACTCCAGGGACATTTTCAGGGGATATCGTCCTAATAGTGAAAATAGGTTTAAAGGTTGTTCTCAATTATTTTTAAAAACAAGCTTTTTACTCCTGGACAAGCCATCAACCAGGAGCAGAATGGCCATCTACACAGGTGCCCAGAGCTGTGGCAAGGGCTCCCCGCTGTGAGACGTCAGTGCTGGCCTGTGTATGGAGAGGTAGACGGTAACCTCCAGGGTGGGAAGCCAGTGCAGCCACAGGCCCACAGAGGAGGCAGCTGAATGCTCTTCATGGAGGTAGGCTGGGTACCCCCTTTCCCAGGAGCTACCATCACAGGGAGGCAGAAGGCCCTGGTAGGGCAGGCAGATCGCCTGGGTCTGCTTTCCTGCGCTGCAACATGAACTGTATGGCCCTGGGCAGGCTCTTCCATCATACTTCTCTCTAGTTCTCCATCCATACAGGAAAGTTGTCAGAACTAAAAATGGAGTCATTTGTGTTTTAAAAAAAAAAATTAAAGTCCATGACAAACAGGGCTAAGAAAGGCTGCAAATAGAGGGTTTTTATGCCTATATGTCTGGTAACAAAAACTATCACAAAAGACTTTGCAAAAACCACAACCTTGCACAAAAGCCACTGCAAACTTAACACAAAAAATACTTCCACAGGAACATGTTCCCAAGAACTACCTGTCCAGCCTTGGACTAGTGTCACCCTTGCTATTGATCTGTTTAGACAAGGGTAATGATCTCAAAACAATTCCCTAATCCTCATTTCTCCTTTAAAAGCCTTTGTCTTCTGTTACCTCCCTGATTATGCACATTACCATGGCACACATATTCCTAGTGCCAGGCACTGTTCCTGAATAAATACTGTTTTCTTTTAGAGAGAAACTCTGTTGTTCAGGTTGACATAAATGGTGTCCAGACGTAGGACCTGGAGTAGGACCACTACTGGAAGAAATCAGCCATTCTTGGAACTGGTGTGCAGTCCTCACTTGAGCCCTTGGAGCTCTCTGTTTCTGTGCTTGCCTTTTCTGTCCTGGAGGGTCTTCTTTCAGGCTGAGCCTCCTACTTTTGGGTAGAAGCTCTTGACTTCATTCAGCATCTGATTTGGATAAGTCAAAGACCTTACATCCCTCCTGAAATAACAATTTTTTGTCTTTTCTGGTAAATTCTTTCTGGTATAATGACAAATGTTTTTCTGATTTGAGCACCCTTGTTTCTACATAATTTACATTTGTTTGTGAGGCATGTCTTTTCTGGCAAATTCACTTTCAGTTCTGCATGCCTAATTAAATATTTGTTTGATCTGCACACCTGGGTTAAAATCCCTGTGAACAATGATTTTGGTTTGGTTCCGTGTGTCTGTAATTCATACGGAACCTAAAAAGCCCACGTAGCCAAAGCAAGACTAAGGAAAAAGAACAAATCTGGAGGCATCGCACTACCCAACTTCAAACTATACACATGGCTATAGTCATCAAAATAGCATGGTACTGGTATAAAAGTAGACACACAGACCAAGGAACAGAATAGAGAATCCAGAAATAAACATGAATACTTACATATAGCCATCTGATCTTTGACAAAGCAAACGAAAGCATAAAGTGGGGAAAGGACAACCTATTCAACAAATGGTGCTAGGATAACTGGCAAGCCACCATGTGGAAGAATAAAACTGGATCCTCATCTCTCACCTTATACAAAAATCAACTCAAGATGAGTCAAAGACTTAAATCTAAGACCTGAAACTGTAAAAATTCTAGCAGATAACATCAGAAAAACCCTTCTAGATACTGGTTTAGGCAAAGACTTCATGACCAAGAACCCAAAACCAAATGCAATAAAAACAAAAATATTCATGGCAGGTAAATTGATGAAAAAATTTTTGCATGTAATTGACTTGGTAATAATCAGAATAAAATTATGTATAAGTCTTCATAAAGATTGAGCTCTGGTATTAAAAATACAGTAATACTAAACTAAAAAATTGGTCTCCTATGTTAGAATACCAAAGTTTTCTTGAAATATTGATTTGCTATTAGTAACATTGCAAGAGGTTGTGATTTTTAATTCTGACTTCTGTTTTCTTTAACAGCCATCTTCTAAACTGCAGTCAGTTTCTATTTCTGGCACATTTTTTCCTGAGATCCATTTAATTTCCCCAGTTTCAGGTAAGGAATATAATCTTTTTCATGAAGAATGGTAATTTTATTTATTAAGGTAGGGTCTTCCTCAGATTCTTATTTCAGAAGTTCAGTTTCTGCTGCGTCCCACTGCACATGGTTTGCAGGCCATACACCATAGCCTGCAGCGCTCCTACTCTCTTCCTTCGAAAAGTTGCAGCTTTTTGGTTGGCTGAGGTGATAACTCTCTTCTCCAACTTTTTCATCAGCTGCTCTAACATTTTTCCTCCAGTTCTAACTCGGTTTTTATGGCCTGGCACTATAATGTTTATCTTGAAGGCCAAGAAAAGCAATGTTTTCCTCCAATATAACTAGATTACGTATTCTTGGCTTTTCTTGATATGTGTGAATTGTTCCATGCTACCAAGAAAGTTCACGCGTTTTTACTTTATCTAAGAGCTCTGTATTCCTCTGCTCAAGGTACTAGTCTTCTTGTTTATACTCTTCTATGAGTGTACACTCATAACCCTTGGATATATTATTTTATCTCTAATTGAATTTCAGGACCCTTTCATCAGGTTCAGTTTCCAGACTGAACGGGCTTCCCATGAGAAGAAGCAATTACATTGCAGGAGATTTCTTTTTTTACCTTTTGGTAATTGACCTAAAAGACAAACAATTTATATATTTATATTTTACCAAGATAATTTTCTGTGTTGTCTTTATTAAATTTTCGATTACTTAAGAAAACTGAGCTTTGAACAGGTTAGGGTTTTAAAATCTTTGTAACTTTCTGTATTGCTTTGAAGTTTCCTGATAATTACTCGAGTTAAATGAATGACTATTATTTAACAGTGACCTATGATTCTATTTTGATCTAGGGCTTTGAATCTCTTGACATTTTTGGTGGGCTTCTCTTAGATCAAAATTCTAGATTAAGTCTTTTTGAACTGCAATTAACTTTGAGATTTTCCAGTTGGGCCCCTGGAGAATATCAAAGAAGATATCTTTTAATTTATAGAGATATTAAATGATTAGGCTTATTTGGTAAATTATATGACAAGGATTGTCAAATGAGAAGTGAGGCTACATCTTCTTTTAGTCACATTTGTGGGTAGGCTATTGATAGGAATGTTCTAAAAATTATATAACAAAATCTAATATACTATCAGTCATAATTTGGGTTGTTATGTTAAAACTTCTTTAAAGTTTTACTTATATGGCTATGTTATTGATGTGAGTATTCTAAACATTATATGAAATTTATAAGTCCGA